AAAAAAAGAAATTCAAATCTTTTTGGAAAAAGAAAAGAAGAAAATTTTCTCCAGGAAAATACTTCAAAAAACCTTCAAAAGAAACACCTAAGAAGACTACTTCCTGTCCGCAAGGAAAGAAAAAATGTAGGTGTTGGATCTGCAATGAAGAAGGACACTACGCCAATGAATGTCCAAATAGAAAGAAATACCCTGACAAAGTCAAGGTTTTACAAACCGCTAACAATGGGGGCTATGAAGCTCTTGAAGAAGAGTATGATGGTACACAACATGTTTTTATATATCATGTTGAGACAGAATCTTCATCAGACACTGATGAATACGAATCAACAACGGATGACTCAGACTAGTCCCATACAGACCCCACTTTTCAGGGAGGAGGAGATTAACCATTTTTGCGCAAACCTCCAGAAGATTGATGATTCCATTATCATGAATCTTACTAATCCAAACTCTATCTATGTTTCTGCCTTCCTTAACTTTAAAGGATATAAAAAATTTAGAGTACATTGTTTTGTAGACACAGGTGCATCTTTATGTCTTGCAAGCAAATTCATCATTCCGGATGAACTCTGGGAAAACGCTCCCAAAGAAATTAGTGCCACTATTGCAAATGGTGAAACCATAAAAATTAATAAAGTTTGTAGAAACATTAATCTCGAACTTTCAGGAGAACATTTCAACGTTCCCACTATTTACCAACAAAATTCAGGAATTGATATCATAATTGGGAACAACTTCTGTCAAGTTTATGGACCATTCATACAATGGATAGATAGAATCGCCTTTCATCTTAATAATGATATGGTAATTATAAAAAAGGTTACAGAGGCCTATAGCAAAGGAAAACCAGGTTTTCTTGAAACTCAAGAAAAAGGTTCTAAAGAAAAACAAATTCCAGGTACTAATATAACCCATGAAGGGATTAATAAAGAAAAGATTATTTCTATTCAAACTACCAGGTTCAAACAGATTGAGGATCTTCTTGAAAAAGTTTGTTCTGAAAATCCTATTGATCCAAATAAAACCAAAGGATGGATGAAAGCTTCAATTAAGCTTATTAATCCCAAGACGGTTATTAGAGAAAAACCTATGGTTTACTCTTTACAAGATAGAGAAGAATTTTCCAAACAAATCAAGGAATTACTTGATATGAGACTAATTATAGAATCAAAATCCCCTCATATGTCTCCTGCCTTTCTTGTCAATAAAGAAGCAGAGAAAAGAAGCGCATGGTTGTCAACTACAAAGCAATCAATGATGCAACTATTGGAGACTCGCATAATCTTCCCAATATGCACGAACTCTTGACTCTTCTAAGAGGAAAAAACATTTATTCAAGTTTCGACTGCAAGTCAGGTTTCTGGCAAGTTCTACTTGATGAAGAATCGCAGCTTCTCACTGCCTTCACATGTCCTGATGGACTCTTTCAATGGAAAGTACTACCCTTTGGGCTTAAACAAGCTCCTAGTATTTTTCAAAGACACATGCAGAACGCTCTTCGAGGCCTTGAAGGTTTCTGCACTGTATACGTTGATGACATCATGATCTTCAGCAAAAATGAACAAGAACACTATGTTCATGTCACACAGGTTCTCAGAACTATTTTAAAATATGGAATAATACTTTCAAAAAAGAAAGCTCATCTTTTCAAAACAAAAATCAATTTTTTGGGTTTAGAAATAAATGAGGGTACTCATTGTCCTCAAAAGCATATTCTTGAACATTTACATGACTTTCCAAATGTTTTAGAAGACAAAAAGCAACTACAAAGATTTCTTGGTGTTTTGACTTATGCTGAAACATATATTGAAAAACTTGCAGCCATGAGAAAACCTTTACAGGCAAAATTAAAAAAAGATGTCATTTGGAATTGGTCAAGTGCTGATACAGACTACATCAAAAAGATAAAGAAAGTTTTAATCAATTTTCCAAAACTTTATCTTCCAAACATTGAAGACAGTTTAATTATTGAAACTGATGCTTCTGATGAATTTTGGGGAGGTGTTTTAAAAGCTAAAAACCCCAAAAACGAAGAACAAATTTGCAGGTACACCTCTGGCAGTTTCAAAGCAGCTGAGAAAAACTACCATAGCAATGAAAAAGAATTACTCGCTGTAAAAAGAGTTATTACAAAATTCTCTGTATATTTAACACCAGTAAATTTCCTGGTTCGTACAGATAATAAAAATTTTACTTATTTCCTCCGAACGAAGATTGCAGGAGATAACAAATTAGGCCGGCTAATACGATGGCAAGAGTGGTTCTCACGATATACATTCACTGTTGAACATCTCGCAGGAAACAAAAACGTACTGGCAGACTGCCTCACTCGTGACTTCAGGTATGCCTTACATCATCCATGATCTCACTCGCTCCTCTCGAGCCCTATAAAAGGATATGATCCTCATGACATATTTCCTCACAAAAACTTCACCTACAAAAAAGAGAGGGGGAGATTAGAGAGAAAAGTAAACAAAAATTGAGTTTACAAAAATGGAAGACCTCAACATTTTGAGGATGAAGAAACAAATGCTCCTCATAGAGCTATCTGCAATTGAGCAGAAAATCAACTTGTATGAACAAGTAACAACGGTCACCAATGTACCGGAAAGCGAAAGCTCAAAAACAAAGGCTATTCCAGTGCAAACGGCACATGGTAAAGAATCAACAAATCCGTTGAAAGCTGATGCTTTGCTAAAAAGCATAATAAAGGAGACTACTCCTCTTCCTAATGGAAAAACTAGCTTATTGGTTGATCCCAATCCTTGTACTGAAGGAATCAGTAAAATGACAACTTTGTCACCCACTAACAAATCTGTGCAGGAGTTTACACCAGATTACAAAAAAGCTCTTAACAAAGAAGCTGAAAGATTTTATGTAATCTATAAAGGACCCCATGCCGGTGTTCATACTGACTGGGGAATTACAGAAACCTTCTGTAAAGTTGATAAAGTTACTTGCAAAAAATTCAGAAATGAAACATCTGCAAGATTAAGCCTTGCCACTTATCAAGACAACAAGCAAGACTAACCAACCACTTCTTCGACCAAAAATTCAAAAAGTCAAAGAAGCCCACAGAGACCAAAGGTTTGACGTTCCAATTGACGTTCAACAAATGGTTAACTATCCTGAAATCTCTTTTGAAGATTTCAGAACAATCTGGAAGAAAGCAAGAGCTGCATGCCCAGAAGACCTTGTTCATGAAAAGTTTTTCACTACGGACAAGAAAACAAAAAGTCTGTTCAACTTTCTCGAAGGAGCAGATGCAAAATTAGTCTACCAAGCCTTTCAAGCTGGACTAATCGACAATATCTACCCAAGTTGCAACCTTCAAGAACTCAAATTCTTCCCAAGCAGCATGGTAGAATCCATTAAGAACTTTCGAAAGAAAGTACTTAAAGCAAAAGATAATCCGATCTACATCAGATGCATCTCTTCACTCCCAGAATGGATTCAAGAATCAACTCTTTCTCCATACCACTTTCTGGAAATTGGTCTTTCTAAAGCCAACAGAGAGATTGAACAATCTCAACCAATGGAAGATAAAGATTTACCTTTCACAGAAATTCTTCATCCCAATCGCATCAATGGTTTAAGAAGAATATCAGAAAAAATCATTGAAATTATCTCTGGTTCAAAAAAGAAGATTAATTATACCGATTCACATTGTATAATTACAAGCTGGAGTTACAACAACACCAGCCAAGAAGATCTTCGTCAAGCCTCCAAGTTTGGAGAAAAATTCATGAAAAATAACATGGAAGTATCCAATGCTACACGCCAACTTCTGCCGACATGCAGAACAACTTTTCGAAGAACATCTTTGTCACTTTTGCGAAAGCAAAGATTCGGAGACAAAGGAGGGACCCCCCTCTGAAGATGACAAATCCTCATCATCTTAAAGAAAGATGCTTCACGTGTCAAATGGCCCCGCCACTCAAAATAATAATGCCTTTTCTCCATTATTAGAGCTTTCCAGTTGTCCACAATAATGTAATATTTAGTGGATAAAAACGTCATGCCTGACATAATAGGCAAAGATCAGACCCTCTCAATGTATCTATAAATTGAGAGTTATGTTTTGTTTTAGGGAAATCGCAATAACGAGTGCAACAAAAAACACTCTCTATCTATTAAATTTTCAGTTCAATGTCTAGTGAGTAATTCCTCCCTTAGAAGGGATAAAATGTAAAATATTGTAAGAGTTTTCCCTTTTTGGGAACTCTTTTATCAATAAATCTTTGTTTTGTTATTTTTGAGTGTTCATACAAATTAGAGTCATGAAACTTGTAAGTGACAGAGTGTCAGGTCGATGATGATTAACAGTACCACAGGCACGATGCCAAAAGGGAAAGCAACCACACAGACCAAAGAACGACACAGGCTGGCTTGAATAGTTTCTATCTATGTAAGTTTATCACTCACTATATTACAATCACACATTTATTGATATAAGAGTCTTCTTTCACAAATTTTATATTTATTCCCTTCTTTATTAAACGATGAGGGTATTTATAGTTGAAGACTGATGGTTTAAAATTTAAGATTTTAAAAGAAAAAAAAAAGGTTAGATTTTTTGAAATTGGGTATTTTTTGGAAATAATGTAATTTTTGAAAAAGAAGTTTGAGTAATCAACAAGTAAAAAAATCTCTCATCGGTGAACCATCGCCGAGTTGATGAGCCAAGCTCGGCATACCTCGGCCTCGGTCCGGTATTCGCCGAGGTCACCGTGTTCGTTGTGAAGTCCACACCCACTAGCCTAAGACTCTAAGAGATCTGGGTAAACTGCTATTATAGTAATGTACTCCAAATATCATCTTACTGTTAAATTTTGCTTAAAAAGATTTTAGCTTAAATCATCATCAATTTGTATGTTTTAGCATCCGGTTCACTTATATAATGTCCTAATGCACCTCCATTAACGAAATGTCAATTTTTAGAGTTTAATTTGCGGGTATTACATCCGTCCACCTCACCTTTCGGGGAAATCAAAACGATAAAAACTAAAATTAGATTATAGATTAAAAATAAGTTACTGCTCATTTTGGGGTCTCTCTCTGTCTCTCTCTCTCTCTCTCTCTCACATATGGTGATGTTGTCATCAACATGTTGGAATGACAACCTCACACTTTCAGTGGTTTTGTATAAACCGGAGGACCCAATTCTCATCCATGAGTATGATCAACAACAGAAACAGAAACCGGAACTATAACACCAGAGAGAGGCATCATCCAGAATGGCTGCTCAGGCTGTGGAGTCTGCAGCGGTGACGGCTCTGCGATCGGTTCTTCACCGTGTCCGGCATGCGGCGGAGAGATCTGGTCGGCATGCCGATGATGTGCGGGTGGTGGCAGTGAGCAAGACTAAACCTATCTCTCTCATCCGCCAAGTCTACGACGCAGGACACCGTTGTTTTGGGGAAAACTATGTCCAGGAATTCATCGAAAAGGCTCCTCAGGTACTATTTTGTCTCTCAGTTCTTTTATACCGAATCGATTATCTAAAGCCTATTGGCGTTGAAGAAATCGATTAATTCATGCAGCTTCCAAAGGATATCGACTGGCACTTTATTGGACATTTACAGAGCAATAAAGCAAAATCCCTACTCGGTAATCATAGAATGGGGCTATTGTTAAAAGTAATAAGATGAATATATATATATAAATGATATTGTTTATCTTGTATGCAGCTGCTGTTCCAAATCTATCGATGGTGCAGGGTGTAGATAACGAGAAGGTAACCTAACTCCAAATTGATAGAATGAAAAACAGAATGACGAATGTGTTGACATGGATTTTGGATTCACAGATCGCAAATCACCTTGATCGTGCAGTTTCAAGCATTGGAAGAAAACCTTTGGCAGTTATGGTCCAAGTAAATACGAGTGGAGAGACATGTAAGTGAACAAGCACCATGATTCCTTTTTAAGACAAAATCATATACATATACATGGGCTGATTGTAAGTAACCATGAATTCGTTGTCAGCAAAATCTGGGATTGAACCTTCAAGCTGTGTAGATCTTGTGAAGCATGTTAAGCTTAGTTGCCCAAATCTGGTGTTTTCTGGGTTAATGACTATTGGAATGCCAGATTATACATCGACTCCAGAGAATTTCAAGGTAAAATCTGTTAAGGTTTCTTGTTTATTTATGTGGCTATATAGTTTAGTAAGGAACTTGGAATGGTATAGACGCTATCAAGGTGCCGAAGTGAGATCTGCAAGGAACTTGGAATGGTGGAAAATCAGTGTGAGCTGTCAATGGGCATGTCTGGGGACTTTGAACTAGCGGTGAGTTTAAAAAATTGTGAGGTTTGATTGGAACAAGTAAGTTGATTTATGAATTATATATATATGATTATATATTTGCAGATTGAAATGGGAAGCACAAATGTAAGGATTGGATCTACCATTTTTGGACCAAGGGAGTACGCCAAGAAACAGTAGCATAGCTGAATAGGTTTGGTTATAATCATGTTCCCCCTCCACTGTTTAAAGACACACACATACATACATACATACATATGTTGTAAGATAAGTCACCATAAACATGTTACTAAAATACTCAACCTTATATTAATTAATTCAAATTGAAAATGAAAAATCTGGGTAAAAAAAACATAACCAGACCATAGTCAGATTCAAACACTAGTACAGAAACCTACAACTTAATTGAGACATGATTATTTTGAAGAAATTCTTCACATCAAACTGCAGCATGGGGAGTGACCAGATGCAAGCTTTTGGAACTGAGTTTGGGAAGAAGAAGAAGATTTAACGGGAGTTATTGGGTTTTGTATATGATGTCCACAACAGTCGGAAGCATTCCCTGAACATTCCAGATGCTTGAAGGCGTAGTTCCTCCTCCTTCTTCTATAATTATAATTGGGGGGATACCCATACCCATACCCATACCCATTATTATTATTATTATTATAGCCTTCATGACCTAGTAGATACAAGTTGTTATTAATCGGGGGCAGGGGCAAGGGCAAGGGTGATTCTGTCTTTTCAAACAAGTTGGTTGAACATTCTCCATATTGCCAATGTACTATCTCTGCTGTTTTTCCTGCTTTCTCCAGAGACTTTAGAAGTAGGGTTGGATCGATGTATCCTGAAATATTTACCTTCCCGTTGTTCTCCATTCTGAAATTAGTCACCCCTTAATTTCACCACCACCAACAACAAACTATCAACCAACAATCTTTAAGGAGAAAAACATAAAAATGATTGGTTAATTACTAATCAAATGAATGAGTAGAAACCAACATACAATACATACCTTGAACACTGCTCAATACCTTTTTCACTGCCTTGGTCCATGAACCTTCAACGTCCACTTTAATGGTGAAGTTCTGCATATGCAATAACAGGAACAAACAGATTACATAATCATGTATATTATATATCGTTGGCTCTACACACACAGAGTGGCACTTAGAATGTATTTTAGAAGGAACAAACCGTGAATGCAGGGTATTCATTTTTGGACTTCTTGGATGCCATGAATGATATGAACACCATATATTTTTATTCTTTTATTTTTATAACCGTGAATGCAAAAGGGGAAGAGGATGCGTGTATTAATAGATTTAAGACGATATCACTACGTATCTTTAATTATTTAGTTTCTATCCTAGAAGTTGATACAACTTCCTTTTCTGCAACATATGTAAGATCTTATGCAGTTATAAATCCGATTTACTTGGATTTTTTACTTATAAAAAAATGGAAAATAATTTGTTTCTCCTCGGCCTCACCCTAACTATGACCCACCCAGTAACATTATTGTTTGTCTAGTGTTCTTAAATCTCCATCCCCTAATTAATCACAATTAATTAATCAATCTCACAAAATAATTTTAAGTATTTGAAAATGTCCTGTGATAATATTTTCCCATGAACGATCTCATTTTTATTGATGAATTTGTATAGACGTATATTCTGTGTAAGGCCTTGGGCTGAGATATACAATAGATACAAAGTACAAGTGGCCCTATACATATAGAATCTAATATGCCCTGCTCTTTGAATGGAAGATTGTCTGAAAACTCAAATTCCAACTCAAATTGGTATGGAACTTGGTAAACTGTGATGGTGGAAGCTCTTTAGTAAAGATATATGCATACCGATACCGAGAGGGGACATGGAAAACACGAACATGACCAATGACGACTTTGTCTCGAACAACGTGTTGTCAAGCTCAATGTGTTTCGACCATTGATGTTGCATGGAAAGCGGCACGATACTCGACAATGGCTCCACGAAGGGAAAAGTGGAGCTCTCGTAGAAGATTTTCGTAGGCATAAAGAAGAAATTAGTTGATTAACGAGAGTTGTGGTTGATATCGTAAGTATATTGTCTTCGACGTACAATATGAGATATGCTACCTCGTTGCTATCTCGAAGAATAAAAATGAGGAATTTGATTTGTTGTGTTGAAAGTCGAGGCGAACAACATATGCCCAAATCGTTGAAACTAGGGTCAAGGTGCCTGGCGTCTGTTTGAGCCCATATAAAGACTACTAAATGCTACATAGTCACATTTTTCGAGGTTGTCAAACCTTGATGCATGTAAAGCGTTTCGGCTTGGTGACCATGAAGAAACACATTTTTGGCATAAAACCAGTCAATTATGTGCAATGGAAAGGGTCAAACTGCATGATTTTGGCCGACTTGGCAATTAGGCTAACGTACAACCGATATACCTGGTTGTTGACTTTTTCCACTAAGAGACATGCTTTGTAGTGATCGAGAGACCCATCAACATTCAACTTGTGTTTGAATAATCATATTGATCTAAGGGCATCCACAATGCATGGAACTCCATAGAGTTCGATGGATCCACAATGCATCGAACTCCACAGAGTTCGATGGATTATCACATCATCTTTTTACAATCCATACAACTTTATCATTTTTTCTTACAATGCACTGAACTCTACAAAGTTCAATAGATTATTATAAAATATAATTTATAGTATATATTTAAGAATTAAAAATTTTCATTTTTTTTTTTCCATTGAAGAGTTCAATTATCATTGAAATTCAAATTCATTGAATGCTAATGTGACATCTCACAATGATGAAGTTTCATTAATTAAATGACACCTAGATTTGTCACCTTATTCAACTTTCTCATTGAACACACCATTGTGGATAGTCTAACTATGTTTACACCTATTGGCAGGGGAACGAGACACCTAATAATATATTAACGAGTAAAGTTATGGATATTAAGCTTTTGATTGGATTCAAATATCTCGAGTTTAGAGTGAGTAACCATTTGATGGGATGAGTGAGGTGTCAATAATGAGGTATAAGGTAGAGGGTGGCTGGCTTTGTACGGGTGAGGGAGTTTGTAGTAGTTAGAGTGATACTTGGTTAGCTTCAAATTTGGTATCTAGAAGGGAATACGAAGGAGGTGTGGATCCAGTGTTCTAAAAGGCATTTATGGTGAGTGTTTTTTCGTTTGAGACACATTTTTTTGTTCTTTGTTATGTCTTTTCTAATCGTAGAGACAAGTATTGTGTTTTTGTTAATTTTTTGTTATTAGTTATTGATATAACACTTCTAAAAAGTAGTTATATTTAATATAAATTTATAAATTTATATTTATGTGGTAATATAATTATAAATTAATACAAAAATATCCACCTTACATCACGCCTTGATATAACACTTCTAAAAAATAGTTATATTTAATATAAATTTATAAATTCATATTTATGTGGTAATATAACATTTGTAAAGAATCTCTACCTTTCAATTTTAATTTTTATTGATTTTTTTCTGCTAGCATGACTCTTATTTATAATTGTTTACAAATAGTAAATTATTTGCACAAAAAAAAAGCTAATCACATCTAGAAACTAATTTCTGAAATAAATTATTTGCACATGTCGTTTGATGCGGGTAAACAGCTTGTGTGTGTGTGTGTGTGTGTATATATATATATATATATATATATATATATATATATATATATATATATATATATATATATAACACTCGAATCTAGGTATTCTTTCCAAGTCCTTGTAAAATAAATCATTTGTTGGGTGATAAGTTCCTCCGTACACGTACATATATGTACAAATCACGATGATCACTATTGCAACGTTGAAGGGAAGCACTTGTTTTAAGATCCTTCACAGTGAAACCAATAAGATCAAACTCAACAGAAACAAAATTATCAATAGTAAAACGACGAACATAAATGGAAGGGAACCTAAATGTTAATAGGGTGTTATTGTGTATTGTTATCTCGAGGAGTCGTCAGGGCAGCAACTAAGGATTTATTTCAGTGAGACTCAGCATTCGAGGTGAGTTTTCTCACTGGGTTTAGCGGGTCTAAGGCACCAATGTCGACCTTGACTGGTTATGTTGATATACTTATTATTAGTATGATACTTGTATGTGCTTGTATATGTATGTTAATGGGCGGGGCCCGTTATACGAGTGGGGATGGGGCACGTATCTCATTGGGCGGGGGCCATTATGCGAGTGTGGGCGGGGCTCGTTATATGATATGTATGGTATGTGGTATCTTAGGGAATTTACTAAGTTTTGTGCTTACGATTTTTAGTTTATGTTTCAGGTACTTTCGGTTCCAAGGGGAAGAGGTCGGGTTGACTGCATCACACACACCATATGGATTATGTTTATGGGACATACTATGATTTTTATGATGTTGACATACTTATTTTATTGGGTTGTATGAACAATGTTTTGAAATACTTTTTTTACTTAAATCAAAAATGAAATTTTCGGGTCATGGTTTTTGGGATGTTTCACAGCAGAAGGGTAGGCACAATCTTGAAAAAAACGATCTCCATACAACAACGACAAACGGGAACATAAACAGAAACAGCAATAGGAGTGCAACAACCGATCATAAAAAATCAAACACCAACAGTGCAGATGTGTTGTTGGATGATCAGCTTCCAACCTGTTGTTGGAGCTTTGGTGGCTGACTGGGATCGACGACAGAAGACACGTAGGAAGTGAAGGCGCCAGAAAAAAATCACAAGGTGCACAAGATTGATGTGAGGCTCGATACCATGATGAAATATGTGGAAAACCCTTAATTAGGGTTACGTATATTAATCAGTATATATACAGGATACATATTACACAATGACCCCTATACTATACAAAAGGAAATAAAACAACCAAAAGTATAATGTATTTAACATTTTTATTATTTTTCACATAACTTAAACAAAAGTAAAACTTGGAATGGTAAAAGGGACCTTTTCAAAACAAGTTTGAGGTACTTAGGTAGAATAAACATGAAACTTGGTTACTATTTAATGACATTAACCCTAAAAACTAATACAAAGGGATTGATTATTCATATGTACAAAAAAAATTATTAAGGCTCATTTGTCACATTGACATGAAATAACATGAGAGAATATGTTGGCATGTATTTTGACATTGCTAATTTTTGCAATCTGCACATGCATGTACTATTAAGGTCAGCATAGTGATAGTTCATTAATAACTTACCACGAACAATATTTAAAACTTTTATGGAGCTAATAGCCTAATACTCTATGAATGAAGGTTGGTGTGAAGGATTCAAACCTTTAGCCTTTATCACTAATTAATTAAATAGGAAAGATAATTTGCCTACATCATTCAATTTTCCAAAGCAGCATGAAACCAAATAAATCAGAAAATCCATTTAATATGTTGTGCTCATCTTTTCTGTTTGTTTTGATTCTAAAGTATCTAACATTTATATCTTTTGATTGTTACAAAAGCCAACAAGTGAATATTCCCCTTATGATTTCTTCCATCAATTTGGAGGAGATGGGTGCTGAAGATGCATAAGTGCTTCAACAATGGTGGCTCTAAACCTTGAAAGATCAATCGTCATATTCTGGCCATCCACGTAAATAGCCCTTACAGCTTCATAACCTCTGGAAAATAAAGAATCCGGATCAGCAATCACAGGATCATTTGGTCCATATGAGCGTATCAAGGAGCTCTCATCAGCAACAACTTTGTACTCCAAATACTTCAACCCCATCGCCATTGTTGGGTGGCCAAAATATGTTTCAGAGGCCCATGTCAATGCGTAAGGTACAACCTGGACAAGCACAGCCCCTTGAGGTAAGAAAACCATGTTTGTTAGGCCAGCACCATGTGCACCAACCATAACATTGCAGGAATTCACCACCTTCGAAAACTCATCCAAATTCATCATCTCTTTTGTCTTTCTGATAACCACCACTTGGAACCCAATCTCTTCCATCATTTCAACCATCTCATCTTCATTTTCAAACGTCCTTGACTTCTTTCTGGAAACGAGGAGCAAGGTCGGCTTGTCTATCTCTTTTGCGTTTTTGATCTTCAGACCGTATGTTTGTCTGAGAAACTCCTTGAATTCTAGCATGGTGTGGCCTCCTGGAATGGAATCAGGATTCAACGCGAGATTCCCATGATATTTCAGCCCAACCACTGCTCCTGGAAAACAGTGATCACTTGCATTCGAAGTCGTATCTATAACTTGATAACGGGACAATTGCGTGAGAATACGGTTATATTTTAGGGCAAACCAAGGCTGGTAATCGGTAACCATGAACTGTACACCAGATCCAAAATGGCGAGCTGTGATGAAAAGTGGGATCACGATTTCGCTGATTTCATGGAATAGGTTTCCAATTAGGCCAGATGAGAATACGATAACAGGGACGTTGTGGGTATAATTACAATTTACAGGTGTTGTAGTTTTCATCTTCTGTAAAAGTACATGAACAGGTGTTATCCATTTCATAAGAGCTTTATCTTCTTGCCTTGCATACGGCTGGACCATGGTCTCGGTCTCGGTTTGATTATAGGATGAAATCGGAACATGAACTTTCAAATTCCCAGTTTCAATTTTAACTTGCTGATTTGACACGCAAACAACCGAGTGAGGTGCAACATCACATGCAAAGCCACTCGCTTTAAGCTTTTCTCGATCGCCCCCTGCAAACCCAGACAAATCAGAGTTGATTGTCGTATGAAGAAGAGAAAAGAAAATATGAAAGGAAGGGAAGGATTACCTGTAACAAGTCTCTCCAAAAGAAACTTTAGAGAATCATCCTGTCCTCTGTTTTCTGGAGATTTTGAAAACCATGGCGTCCCTGTCCCTGTCCCTGTCCCTGCAACCTTTACACCATTAAAATGACATAGACGAGAATATAACTTGATTTTGGGACAAGTGTAATTCTACTTATTTACATTGTTGGGATGGTGTTTTGTATACTGCTAAAAAGGCAGCATATGTAAGAGGGATTAGCAGTAAGCAGCAGGTTATGGTTATGAATGGAGTTGATCTGGACACTCGCTCCATCTCCATCTAACTAACTTATTTTGCTAATCATGATTTAAGGCTTCAATGTTTATTAAATGAAGTTGACTATCCGAAAAATGCGGTGTCGCAAGATTTGTTTTTTGTAATTTGCATCTTTTTTTAATGGTCGTGGTACCAAGCACCAATCATGGTTGATTTTATCGTCACTGAAATGTTTGTTAACTAAAAAAAAAAATTGTCTTTAGACTTTAGAGGCCCATTTTGAAGGCCCAAAGGCGTCAACTCATTCAAGTTGAGCGTAACTTTCACATGGTTGGCGACTTGATATGGTGTACCTAAAATGAGTTTTACAAGATAATCATTTACAAAAAACTTAAAATCGTCCGGCACTCCGATAGAAGTTGTTAGTTATTAAACAAAAACTCTTTAAATCAAAAGCTTATTCAAAAGCTTTTAGCTTTTCATTTTAAACAAAAAAAATCTATTACATATTAGATCTTACATGGAGGTCCTACTATTAATCAAGTGTACAGTCTTCTCCAAGAGCAATGCCAAATTCTTGTCGTCTTCGGGCTTTAAATTGTCCAAAATACCCACAAATCTTGAAAGAATTTTCTAAACAACTCTGTTACTAGATCCTTCCACCATCTTCTTTATCCATCTCTTAAAAGATTACTCACTTTTTCATCAGGTGCTCTGTAGACAATTATATTTGACTGGAAAAATGCTACAGTAACTTTTTTCTTACTGAATTACTTTGTATAGAACTATTGTAAATAAAAAAAAAATAATGTTTAATTTAAAAGCTATTATAAATGTAATTGTAATTGACAAATAATACACTATCATGAAAATTCTATAGAAATACTCAAAATAGCATTCTTCATCCTTTGCTTTCGATCCATGTTCACATTAAAAGTTTCATCCACATAAAGAAAAAAAAATCATTTAAATAAAATAACTTTTTTTTTTTAAGTATCTTTTGTTGTGGCCTTTTTTTTGGAATCTTGAAACTGCCTAGATGCATAATAGGTGTTAATCTTTGGAAATATGGTCTTTTTTTATTATTATCATTTAATCATAGCTTTAAGTGCCACATTGAGGGTATGATCGTTATGATGGTTTTTTCCTTTGTTTGCGATCAACTGGAAAATTATGATAATTAATAATTTCAATAACTTTCTCCAATGAAAATACTTTTAAATTACTATATTCATACGGTTGATACAACCACTTTTGGTGGGCTGCATTGCTCCCCACTTAGATCCAAGGTGTGTCCGGGAAGCTTCTTTTATTTTTTGTCTGTCACATCATCATTTTCTTTATTTTTCTTTTCCTCACCAAAAGTCAAGGTGTATGTAGGAAGTTTTCTTCACTTTTTTTTTTTTTTTTAAATAAAAATAATTGATTTTCATGATTTATATTTTTTTAAATGAACAATAATCCTTTAAGATATTCATTGGGACCTTCCAGAGGACCTTCCTCGACCATAAGGACTATAAAAATCATAGTTTTTCAGTCATGCATGTCCAATGCATAACTTAGATACTAACTAGGTCAAAAGAAAGGTAATAAGATCAAGACTCATGCTTGGAGTCGAAAACCAACACCAAAACTCAGATCCAAAGTCTCATATATACAGAAGATGTATCAATGATCCATAAAGTTGCCAAGTTTATGGATCCCGTGCATGCTACACAACCCATACATGCAAAGAAAGCTCTCAAAACCTAGATCTAACATTCAAGATGTAAAAAGGTAGGAGCTTTATGACTTACAGAGGTCCAACAACTCAGTAAGACCAAGAGGGAGTAGCACCACAAGAGTCCTCTTCCACTTCAAAGGACCAAAAACCACCAAATAAGCTCTTCAAGGTCACCAACAATGGCCAAAGGTATCAAGGAGGTTTCATTTAGGGTTTTCAGGAGGTTAGATAGTGAGAGAGGCTAAGGATGGGCAACCCTAGCTCTCTCATTCCATTAAATACTCGAAAATTGGGGTTTTGGGTCATCAGTCTTTGCTCATGTTGTGAGGCCTCATGCTCATGTCGTGAGATTCAAGAATGTGGGTCAATTGGTCAATGGTCATTCACGTTGTGACCACTATGTTGTTTGTGGAGGCGATGTTGAAAATGCTGGGATAAAGCCATTGGAGCTTAAAGGCGGTGTAATCAAAATCTGATAGCCTAGGGACCAAAACTGCCAACCTCCCTAAATTATTAAGACCAAAACCTAAAGTGTATAAAGTTTAGTATTCCTAAGTTACATATCTATTAATATATTTAGACAAAACTACAAAAATGGTCCATGTAGTATGCTTTTTTCTAGGTTTTAGTCTAAACCTTGACCTTTTTGGCTTTGTGATCCTTTTGACCATGTTTGTATGTGGTTTTAGTCCCTCCAAAAACTGAAATTATTGTAATACCCTTATGTATTTATTTTTCTATTTTTCTTTCATTCTTTATCTATTTAAATAATTAAAATAAAAAATAATAAAAAACGCCTCTCTCTTTCTCTCTCTCACACACACACACACATAAACACAATCCTTATTGTCACAACTAGGAATTCTATACCATGTAACAACAACAATGATGACATTTGTGAACCAAAAATGTGAAAGCACGTATGATGCTTATTCAATGACAACAAATTTTCCATCAAACGCTCTATGCAAGCACTTCAAATAGTCAACAAATAATTGGAAACCCTAGAAATCCTAGTTTAAGTCCATTATGGACTAGGCTTTTCTTATTGGGCCTAATGGGGCCAATAAGCTTCCAATTTGACTATTTTGGGCTTAGAAATCTTAAATGGGCTCTAATTGGACCCACTTTCATTTATTTTAATATTTTGGGCCATATTGGGCCTAGAATGAAATAAAATACTATAACATCCGGGATTTCAGGTATTATTTTTTGTCATTTATTTTTAAAGTCTAAGAGAAAGAGAGACTCGACGAGTTGATGCTTAGACTCGTCGAGTAGGGTCGCGTGGTGATGACTGGATTAATAAGTGGACTCGACTAGCTGGTAAGGGGACTCGACGAGTCCGTGCTGGCGACTAAAACCCTAATTTCCCGGGTCTGAGCCCTATTTAAAGGACCTTATAACCCTTTATTGCGGCTACTTTTGTCATTGGGAGCACCAGAGCATCTGAGAGTCCTTGTGAGTGAGAGAAGAGGCCATTGTTCATCATTCTTGTGTGTTTTAACAAGAAGGGAAGAGGAAGGTCAAGCTAGGAGAGTTGGAGAACTTGGATCTACTTTCATTTGGGCAGAGGAAGCTATTTGAGGTATTACTCTGAGCTTATTCTTGTGTTTTGTTGATATAGTCAAATCTAGGGTTTCTTCATGCCTTGATTAGCTTTTATTTGGAGTATGAGAGGTCCCATGGGGAATTGGTACCTAGATCTGGACCTTAGAAGGTCCAGAGAGCCCCAAATGCTTTGCTTTATGCCTTTTCTTTTGAGTTGTGGACTTAGGTTACCATTTTAGAGGTCATTTCACCAAAAGAAGCCTTGTAGGCGTTACATGGGTGCCAAGATGTGACCTTTACGTGATTATCATGTTTGGGAAGGTCAGATCTATAGATTAGAGAAACAGATCTGACCTAAGAAGGCCATTTGAATTCGAGCATGGAATGACCTCGCCGAGTCCATGAGCAGACTCAACGAGTTGGACCGGGTTGTCCCATGACTCTCACAGTTGATGACTTGCCGAGTTGGGAAAGTGACTCAGTGAGTCAGGGGGGATTTAGGGGACTTGAGTTCACGTCTAAACTCGCCGAGTCAGTGCCTGACTCGACGAGTTGGGTCAAAGGGGATGGCCATTGACCAACGTTGACCAGAGTTGACTTGTGTTGACTTAAGGGAATTAGTCAAATTAAGTCAATAAGGTATTAATTAGAGATGTATTTATGCTATAGGAGGAAGCTAGGTCGGAGGACTAAGCGCGAGTGATTATCCGATATCTTCGAGGGAAGTCTTCTCAATATGCCTTACCTGATGGGGTTGTTATGTGTGACCGGAAGGTCTTATGTGTATGATGAAAATGTGATGTATGTTGTATATGTAATATGTTATGATATAAGTATGATGATATGGACCGGAAGGTCAACAGAGCATGGACCGGAAGGTCAACTGAGTTATGGGATGGAAATCCCTTGAGACACTTGGATCGAAAGATCCCATAGAGCCATGGCCTCGAAAGGCGTATGTGTTGTACGTGGTATTTTGGGGAACTCGCTAAGCATTATTGCTTACCGTTTACGTGTTATGTGTTTCAGGTACCAGTGATGATCGCGGGAATGTGTCGACATGATCAGTACACACTTATGGTGGAGATGTTTTGAGATTCTGGGGATTTTGATTTGCACTTATGTCATGTGAAAACAATTGATACACGTTTTTGAGAATTATGATTGGAGTATTTTTATTAAATTAAAATGAAAAATTGTTTTGAAATTTCACGGTGTTACAAATACCCTAATGGACCTTATTGGGTTATAACTAACCTAATTAGCTTCAATGGGCTATGAAACCCATTATTTTTGACAAATTGGGTCGTAATCCATCATAGGATCCCAATGGGCCAAAAATCATAAAAAATGAGCCCATAAGATGGAATTAAGCACCAAAGGACCAAAATTCTTTTTCTTTCTCCCCTTTTCTCAGCCTAAGAAGAAAACAAAAATAATAATAATAAGTGAAATAAGGAGAAGAGTTGACTTTGGAGTGCCACCTCCATAAGATCTAACATGCATCAAGGCTTTAAACCACCATGAAACCAAGCAAGTTACCTCACCTCTCTCATTCCCTCTCTCTTTTCTTCCTCACGGTCGAGACCTCACAAACACACACACACACACACACTCTTCCAAATTCTCTCAAGCACTCACAAGAACACTCTACATTTCCTCTCTAATTTTCGAGAATTTTCACATCTTCAAGACTAGTTTCATCATCAAAAATCATCAATTCTTGGTAAGTCTTACCACACTTAAGTTGTATAACTTCATTTTCATGTTAGATCACTCATTCTAAGTAAGTTTTTCACGATCTACTCCTAGAATCTTCTTAAATTCAAGATCTACTCAAGGGAGTTACTAGGACCAAATTCTTCTTTCATTTCTTCTTTAAAACCG